TACTCCCTGGCGTCGCCTTGCAAACATGTTAAAATGGGGGATGATGTCTGCATTTCTTGGATAAGCGTGGAGAGCTGACGGCCCGCTGTGTGCTCTGTGTTTTGCGAACAGAATTACGGTATGTCTGGGGAGAGCATGCGCTCGGTGACGGAGAAGCTGCGCGGGATGGCCCACTCCCTCCAGATGGGCATTCAGAGCCGCTGGCGAGTCAACACCTACAACGGCCAATCGGTGTGCAAGCTGCCCTCTGAGACTCTCGTCTGTGTCATCGAGCTCATCGTGGCCGTCAGGGGTTGCTTCTCCTGGCTCAACAGGTATGCTTCTTTTAACGCACCTGCTTGAAGGGACCGGCCTTTTTTCTAGAAATTGTGTCAGTGTAACAGGACTCAATGACACTGAAGTGATATCTCCCCCATGAATTCCAGACAATGTAGGATTCTCCCTCTGCAGACAACCTGGTCTCTGCGCGTTGTGCAGTTTGCCACTGTGACCATGATCAGCTGCTCCCATCACACATGGACTAGTGTTAGAATTGCTCACAGCTCTGCAGAGCCTGAAGTGCATCTATCTGCACATCTAAAAGTAAAGTCTTTTTCATTCAGCTGTTCCTCTTTATGTTAATAAACCAAAGGAGAAGCAGGGAAAACAGGGCTACAACTTCAAAGACGGAGTGACCGAATTACAATCTTCTAAACTCTACTGCAATCCAGATTTCGGGCATCTGGATTGCAGTGATGGTTGTTTGATCATATGACACACTTAAAAAAATTCTGTTCATTAAAATCCCTGAAGTCTTGAGAATCAAACAAAGTTCATATCTCTTATGCTCGCAGAGAGTCTTTGCTGAGCCACTGGTTGTTTGCCCTTTTTTATTGGAACACAACTGCTCATCCTTGATCCTGTTTAACTCCTACTACCCATCTGCTTTAATAGGGGTCATATTGAGTGTTTTATATTTGCTCTTTATTTGTTTGCTCCCCTTGTTCAAAAAGGCAATGTTTGGAATTTGCAAATGTAGCGATTTTGGTAATTCATCGCAAGCCCGTCCGTTGTTTTAAGACTCTCCCGACAGCGAATTGCGTAAGACCTAGGGCAGAATGAGGCACATGGCACAGACATGCTCGTCTGACACGCCCACTTGTAGATTCACTTGTCATGTGACGCGCAAGCTTAGCTCCAGTTTTACTGACTTCACTGCCAGCCTTCGGCCTGATAAATCACAGAAGCTGAGTGGTGAGAAAGCTGAGAGCGCTGTAGCACACAAATCCCATCCCTGTACCCTCTGCCAATTGTGAACCACCACCCTTATAAATCCTAAACACAGCTGCTTTGAGTCATGACCCCAGATCAAGCCCACAACATCGGGATAATAGAGCTCAGTGTGATAGAGTATAGTTTCTTTCACCCATCTTATAAATTTAATGATGATCTTTTTGAATTTAGAAATATTCATTTGTGTTAGTATTCATTCATTTATTATTTTATTTTCTGCAGATTTTTTGTTTTTATATAGACACTGTTCTTTTACTGAGGATATATTGGTCTAATTTCCCTTCCTGTAAAATATTGATATTAGGATGTGCTCACATCATTTTGAAGCCCACCTAATGGTGAATTCTTTTCTTCTGTCAGGTACCTGTGTTCTCAGCCGAGTGACTACATTCCCATTAAAGACATTATCAGTCACTGCACGGAGCTGAGCTGTATTGTCCACAAGGTTAGTGCTTGGGGTTTTAATTCCAGGTTTCTTTATATATACAGTATATACTGTATGTGGTGTTAGGAGATTGAACCATACAGGCGGAGGCACACTCGTGTGGAGAGCCAGTTGGATTCACCAGTGTCAGTCATGGAGGTTCTGGTCTGTTTAATTCCTCATCTGCTACAAAATTGCCTGCAGTCACTCGAAAGCCATTATTAGGTCTTAGTAAGGCAGTGTCTTCAAAAACGAATTTCCTCAGGGGGAGTGAACAGGTACGGAGCTGTAACAGGATCTCCTGCTTCATCATGAGCCCTGGGGACACTCCATGGTAACGACAATTTTAAGGTGGCTGGCCTTGTGTAATTCAGTCACTGATCAAACACAGCATTACTCTCTCCCCCGGCTAGCTGTGGGAGGCCGTTCATTGAAAATGGTAGGAGCTAACCTAGGACCTGCTGAGTAGGAGCACCCAGTGATCTCTGCTTTTTCAGGGCTTAATGAAGCTCCTTCTGCAATTCTAGCAAAATGAGGTTTAAACGTTACAATAAGCAGATGAAACTCATGCCTGTGACCCAAGATATACTACTGATGAGCTTGTTTAAAAGTAACTTTGTTTAGTGGTTTGTTAGTTTTTGTCATGGTCATAAGGATATAAAAAGCATTGTGAGTGCGTAATGTGTATACAGCAAAGTGTTTTTTTACCAACGAAGTGTTTTTTTTTTTTAAAAGTACAGTAAAATCAAACAGCAGTTGTTTAGCATCTCTTTCTCTAAGCTTAAAGAGGTCAGTGGTGGTGCAATTTTGCAAAACTACCTCACCTACACAGATAGGGAGCGGAGGAGGAAATACAGTACAGTGCTGTACGGGAGTGTGTGTGTCTTGAATTCCTGGCATGATGTAACGCGTGCCCCCGTCAGAGTGGAGTGGCTGGCAGATCTGGGCCGTGGCTCTCTGCGCAGAGCAACACCCAGAATCTGGTTCGACAGGTTGGCAGGACAGCGATCCCAGGATGGTATTCACGAGGGAGTGTGCCTGGTTGTGTCGAGGGCGGCCTGTGGGATTAGGTCAAAAAAGAGCGATGGGCTTTTCCATTGTAGTGGGGTACACAGCGAGGCTCGGCACTCTCTGTGACTGAGGGTACAATATTGCGAATGTCTGACTCGCCCCCTGCATATCTAGGGGGAGTTTTGTGTCAGGATTTGAACTCTAATGTGCCACAAACACCGACTGCCTGCGGGATATTGTAATTAGTTATTTAACAGACGCTTGTATCCAGAGTGACTTACAGACACCAGGAGAATGTTAGATTCAGAGGGAGGGGAGAGAGACCTGGAACTGTGTCTGGAGATGCTCTTCCACCTGGGGCCTCAATTCTAAGTCCTCAGAGCAGAAGATATTGTATCAGCTTTCTCACACACACACACACACACACACACACACACACACACACACACACCTGCAGTTTCACTGATTTCTCTGAGCCCTGATTCTGTGGTTTTTGCCTCTGGTCTGTGGGTTGGATGTCATTTTCACCTTGAATCGCTATCAGAAACTAAAAACTAAAAGCAGCCAGCAGCTACTATACATCACCCCACAGTATCTAACTGGCAGTCAACTGAAGCTCAGCAGGTGAGAGCCTGGTCAGTACCTGGATGAGAGACCTCCTGTTAAAGCTAAGGTTGTTGCTGAAAGCGGTGTTAGTGGAGCCAGCAGGGGGTGCTCATCCTGCAGTCTGTGTGGGTATAAATGCTCCAGTATAGTGATGGGGACACTGTACTGTAAAAGAAAAAAAGGCACCATTCTTTGGATTAGATGTAAGACTAAGGTCCTGACTCTCTGTGGTCATTAAAAATCGCACTGCATTTCTTGAAAAGAGGAGGGGTGTATTAACCCGGTGTCCTGGCCAAATTTCCCTCTGGCCTTTACCAGTCATGGCCTCCTAATAATCCCCATCTATGAACGGGCTTATCACTCTGTTCTCCTCCCCACCGATAGCTGATGTGTGGTGAGCTGTCATTGCATCATCCAGGTGGGGCTGCACACTGGTGGTGGTGGAGGGTCCCCACTACCTGTAAATTATTATTATATTAAAAGGGGGGACATGAGCTTTGAAAAGCAAACAGAGATTAGTGCAATGCACATTGACACCTTTTGACAACTGTTTTTGTCTTTATTTTTGTCCAAGACGCAGACGTTTCTCAGTTTCTTTGCTGTTATATCTTTTTCACTCCAGATTACTTCTCTTCAATGCCCTGTGATTGTGCAGTATGAAAAGAATGTTCTGATGTGATTTTATGTTTCATGTCTGTGACCTGCAACATTCTCTCAGCTGTTCAGTCCTAGGGGAAGCAATTTCTTTAATTTTTTTACAGTAGTATGTGTAAAATAAATTTAATTTATTTAATTTCTTATAATTGCGTTCAGCCTAAGTGCAAGAATTGTGAATACATTCAGTTTATTTTGTGAATAAATGTGTTTCCTGGCTGTCCAGTAATTTAACCTTTCTAGTCCGCCCAGCTGTACGAGTGGGGACCAGCATTGCCAGGGTTAATTTCTGTGATGGTTGTGTGCCCCCTCCAGTTGGGAAGCCCCATACCCTTAAGTCCACTTAACTGTACAGAAACCATGAGGAACTCTGGCCTGATAAGCTACTGTGACTCTGGTGTTGACTCGACCTTTTTTCCCATACTCTCAGGCAGACTTGGCTCAGGTAGACTGCGTCGTTAGAAAACAGGCCATACGTGTCCTGGGTTGTACACAAGCTTCCAGCTGTCAAATGCAGATTTCCAGCCCAGTGCATCAAGGTGTCTTTCCCTTGTATGGACACAACATAAGAACAGGTTACAAATGAGAGGAGGCCATTTAGTCCAACTCGCCTGTTTGGTATGTAAATAGTTAATTGATCGAAGGACCTCATCCAGCCATTTCTTGAAGGAAGCCAAAGTATTGGCTATAACCGCAGGCATTGGTGGGTTTTTTTTCACATTCACAGAACTTCAGTGTAGCACTTCCATGTACTGTAGTTTCTGCTTGTGTCGTCTGGTTCAATTTTTACTTTTCATTTTGAAGATGATGTTCATTTTGTCAGTGCTGTTAAGAATTCTGAATACTTGTATCGGGTCTCCTCGTCGTCCTATATGTTCAAGACGAATGAAGTTCAGTTCCTTCAGGCTGTCTGTCTAGGGCAGCAATATCTTGTTTTGTAACACGATGACCAAAATTGTACACAATATCCTAAACGAAGCCCAACTGGGATACCCTTTCAAGACAACATCACTTGATTCGAAATTCTACACTTTTTGACTACAGTATGTAGCCTAACATTTTGTTTGCCTTTTTTTATGGCTTCCTCGCATTGTCTGGAAGGCATACAGTAAGTGATGTTTCAACACAAACATGTGAATCTTTTTCATAAAGAGAGACACCTGGCAAACTGAACACGTCGTGAAGTTTGGAATTTTTAATTGCCAAGTTGGTCGAAGTTTTGTTTGCGATCTGAGAACTACTGTGGGTTTTTGTTAAAGCCATGTCCTTTTTAATTTAATTGAATTAAACATCCCATAATCAGTTAATAGGATAATTGTTCCACTATAGGTCAAATGAGTTTGAAATAAGAATTAGATTAATTCACCCTTGTTGTGTTTTATTAAAAATGGCATGAATTGTACACTTTTTCTTCTCTATTTGTTTTCTTGTTGTAATGCAAAGCCCTGTACTGCACATGAAGTGAAGCTGAGCTTTTTCAGACAGATACGAGTTACAGCACATACTGCACCATGAGTGCGGAATTTAATTAGATTTGCAGAACAGAAATCTGCTAAAATTGTCCCAGCCTTCTCCATTGTGACTCGGTGCCCTTTGCAGGCTGTGTTTAACGTGTGTTTCCTGGAAAAACAAATATCTGCTGGATATTTTTAGAAACCTGCCCGGCCTCCGCTGTGTCCACTTTGTCCCCCTGATTAACAAGACTGAGGCTGTATAATTGTGGGATAATCTGGGTTCACATGTCACGTCTCTGGCAGAATAATGACGTGATGAAAGAGTGCCTCTTCACAGAAAGAGATGTTCTTCTGTGTAGGGCTATTAACCTGTGTAATAATCCTAATGTCATCTTTGTCCATTTTGGGGAAAAGCACCAGAAAATGCCAACAGGTTTTTTTTGGAAAGGCTAACTAAGGTCACCATTTGTTTTAAAGATCACCCTGCCAAAGAGGCCCCTTTTTCCTCCTCCAAAATTCAAGCCCCCGTCTCTCATCGCGTGTTTATAACTTTCCCGGGTGACAGGAGCACCCAGACCATATTTATATCCCAGTGAGTCGAGACCAGCTTAAACAGGACGTCTCAGTTTTCCGAGCGGGACCGAGGCGCTTGCAATATTTGTCCGAGGCTTGTCTTACACTCCAGTCACTTGGCTTGTCTTGCCAAAGGAGGAAAGCAGTCGTGGAACGAGAAATGTAAAATAGAACGAAAAAAGACAAAAAAGTCAAAATGACTTCTAGTAACAATATGCCTCTGAAAAGCACTATTCTGAATAGCATGTGGGTTCTTTAAACCAAGCAGCATGTTAACCTTCATGAGCTTCCTACTCAATTAGAAAGTGCTGAAGAGTATTTGGCATCAAAAATAAGTGTGTCTTTCAGAAGTGACTTCAGAGTCCAGCTCAGTATTACATCTCCAGGGTCTGTAGCAGAGGGTGCTTTTCACCTGAAAGCCTTTTCTGAGGTCTTTTTCACTTGAAGGTCTACTAAGGATGTGAGACAAAAAAGAGGAAGATGAAAAAAGCCAAGAAAAATACACTCCTACTTTATAATGACTGACCTTTTCCTGTCAGTCATACGTGTACTGTAACTGTGGATTTCTGTGGATCGTACTTCTTTTAAAGCTTCTGTTCTGTGCCCTGCGTTGCGTGAACTTTAAAAGGGGCTTTTAAATTTCACACAAAGGTGAGTTAGTGTCTCTTGCAATTACTTTATTTGACAATTTCACTAGTGTCTTTTTGTATCTTTGCTGGAAATATCCAACGAGTTTTGTTTCTTAACCAGATGCATTGCACGTAATAATAGTAGGACTGTCTGCTTCAGATTCAAAAGTGATTTCCCTGCCTTTTTGTGTCAGGAGCAGCTATGAATGAGTCAGTTTTATATCTCAAAAGCTTTTTGTCTTTTAAAATCACTTTTTTGTTAATGACCCTCGCATTTGAAATTTGTTTAATGTGTGAGAGTAGTGAATCATGCCGTGAGTTACTGTACAGTAAATGTTCCTTGTAGCTAATGTAGCTGAATAACTAATGTCATTGTTACAGTTGCAGTTGTTGGCAGATACTTATCCAAAATTGCTCAGAATTGAGTAGCAAAACATGCGAGAAACACTTAATAGAAATGCTGACTTCTGCTTGGTTGTTTTCTGCTGTTCTGTCGTGTTGTACGAGATCTATGAAATATAACACCTTTGGCAGTTTCACAGCTTGATTTTCTAAAATGAGGTCAGGCTTGCTGAGGTCCTGTTGGAGAAGAAAGCTAGGGTCACCTTTTCATCTGTTTTCTAACATATGTGTGGCTGAAACAACCGTAGTCAATTATAGTAAAATAATTAAATAACAAACTACAGCATCAATGTTACTTTGTTTGTAGGTACCTGCCTTCAGGGGAAAAAAACTCTTCCTATACCTTAATGTCAAAAACGTGTTAACCAGTGAATTGGAATACGTAAGGCAGCACATAAATTAATTACATTTGAGCTACTTGTGGATGCGTCGTTTCTTCTTCTGGATGTGGAATGGTTTTTAATTTAACTGCAGACACTCTGTTCCATCAGTGAGTCAGCCCTGGCTATGCTAATCATTTCTGCTTTTAAATATAATGAAGTTCACCATTTTTAAACATTTTTTTTTAAATTTCCTTTCGAGAGTAAATGCTTTAGGAAGTGCAATCAGCACTAGCTAATAGAATGTGTATATCTGCCTGTGCTTCCTACTCTGTCAGATTATAATGTCACATAAAAGATTGTGTGTAATCAGTCCAGCCATGTACTATAAAATAATATAATGTATCACTGCATTTCCTTGTTCATGGTTTTTGTCATAAAAATAGGAGTTGTCTTGGGAGAATGTTCTTCAGATCACTATCACACGCATTTTATAGCAGTTTGTAAGGAATTTTTCTGACAACAGGAAGGTAGTTTACCTTATTCAAATGCACCTGGTTATTATAGTCTTTATCGCAGTTCTTTGAAAAGATATTTGGACTTGAGTGGAATATCAAACCAGTACTTTGTGGAGTACGTACCCTGAGCTTATGAAAGGCTGTGGAATACCTTCTCAGAGTAGTGCTGTACATGGTCACATGGTCTGTCTTTTCCCAGCATTATCTGTCATTGTCATTTATTGATTAAGTAACTCCTTATGCAGGGCGGTTTCCATTATAGGCTCCCATTATGTCTTAACGATGCCTGTAGAGGTCTCCTCCTGCAGGGCTGCAAGATCAGCGGGTTGATTCTGCACTACCTTAAGATTGAGGGAAAATTGTGCAACTGGTCCAATCAAGCTAGTCATGAATAGAGGTTTAGCAGATAGGAGCTGAAGTGGAGTTAAAAACCTGCAGACTGGGCAGCTCTGCTCTAATGTACCACATGATCACCAGCAGATTTACCACCCTTGGTTTGCTCAGCACACACATTTCTCCTCTGGTTCTAATCAAGCTCGGCAGTGAAGTACCGCATTGCGCATTGAACTATAATTAGAGACAAATCTATATCATTAAGTCACACTGTGAACCATCCATCCATTTTCTAACTGCTTTATCCAATTCAGGATATCCAATCTGGCATGGGAGAGCATGGGAGGTGCCTCTTCTAGAAAACAACAAGCAACACGGGACGCCAGTCCATCATAGGTCACACACACACACACACAAGGGCTACCCTTCCCAGAAGCCAGTTAGCCTATCAGCATGTCTTTGGAGTGTGGAAGGAAACCAGGACACTCGAAAGAAACCCTCACAAGCACAGGGAGAACATAGAAACTCCACGCATATAGAACCCCATGTTCAGAATCGGTCCCCGGGCTCCAGCACTGAGAGGCAGCAATGCTAAACACTGGGAACCAGTGAAAGAGTAATCAGATTCTTAAAGCAAGCCAGGAAGCATAATCCCATGTATCCGCCTGTGCTGCACAGCCAGGAGATACTAACGCCCCCAGCCCCCCCATCAGGAAACATCCTTTGTTTTATAACATAAGTGGGATTTACCATGATGGCATGATGGTAGAGAAGAAAGAGGCATGGGGGTCAGATGAACTGTGACACTTCGATTTTACCTCTTTGCGGGACAGAAATACTGAAGGCGTGAGCATGATGAAGGTTCAGATGGCACAAACCATGGTTACTGGGTTTCCTATCTACCACCTGGCTTTCAGGAAACAGTTCTGGTTAGATAGGGGAACTTTGTTGTGCAAAACAAAACCTTTAGTATATCTAATTTCCTGTTGTTTTCAGGACTGAAGTCCCAATTATAACTGGAGTATAAAAAATGTGCAACCCTGTGGAACAAGAACACTTTCCTTCATGAGAAAAAAAGTCTCTTATTTCCCTCTGGCAAGTGAGGAAGGGATTCTGGATCTCTGTTGAATGTAACATGAGAAAAAACATCCACATTGAACAGGAAACACTGCACTTGTACATCGATAGCTGAGTAAAGATATTTAAGCCTTTAATGAGAGTTTACTAATCTTTCTGCTTGTCCCTAGGTAGTGTTGGTGTATCTGTTTGTAGGGATTAGATCTCTTGAGGAATTTGTGAAGTGTGGCAGATTTGGATAAGCAACATTGTGCTGGCACAAGAATTAGTGTCTGTGGGTGGCTCTGGTTGAACATCTTTGCCATTGCACGGAAGGGAATTGGACTCAAAGAATTTATAGAAGAGCTCTGGGTCTCCATGCACATGATGGTTTAAAACAGAGGACCCTGACAATTTGATGGGATCCATTTCAGGTTTTACAAGCTGTAAACTCTCATACAGATTGTCTTGATAAAGAATGGACAATTCTATTACAGCTTCGCAGGTCTGCCTGTGTAATCTTAACCAAATAGAGGTAAAAAGAAGGAAGAATCAAGCTCCCGCTATTGGTGTAGAGTGCAATAGCAGGCTTGTTTTCATCAGGAAGAGCTCTGATATCAGGGGGTTAACTAATTCACAAGTTCCATTGACAGATATGAATTTGAGAGGAGTCAATGAGAAAGAAAAATGCAATTGTTCTGCCTACCTGAGAGTCACAGTAAGTCTGAACAATCCTGACTTTTTCTCTACAGTTGCCACCAGCTTGCTATATTAGGGATCTTCTTTTTTAAATATCTTTTTATGTGCACCCTCTTTTAGCAATTCAATAATTTTCTAAAGCTTTTCTATTTTCATTTTAGAGAAATTTAGGTGGAATTAATAATGCATTATGCTGGTGCATTTTAAGGTTTTTTGAGCTTGGTTTTGAATTACATGAATAAGAAAGTAATTTACTTTGTGAGAGCTTGTACAAATAGCAGCACAAGCCAATGTTATACTGTACAGTATGTGTGGCCTGACCCTACAGTATATGAGCCTATATTAGGGATGAGCCAAATTCTGCTCAGTTACCAATTTGTGTCCTAACTAGTAAGAGCCTAGGATGCTAACTGGTAATTTAGCTTATTTGATCCATATCCAAACAGAAAAAGAGAAAATGAAAGTGAACTAAAATGGGAAAGAGGACCTTTTCTTGGGTCAAGAGATTTCACTGGTATAAAGAGAGATCTTGATTGTGGGATCAAGGTTTCCAAAAATATTGAGATTCAAAGCCAGCATCGCCTGTGTCTTTTTTTAGTATGGGGGGGCGTGACAAAGACAAAAGCTTTTTTGAGCAATCCGACTTTTTTATGCCTTTGCAAACGAATATTCAAAAAAAGATATTTTATAATATATAATATTAAAAATATTACAAAGTAAGTGGGCTGACAGCAGTAGTCCCAGTCTGTGACCTTCTGTGTTATTGTGATTCAGTGTGTTTAGTGTAGAATCTGCCATTCAGAGGTGGAGGAAGGCCAGGTTTGCTATGAGCAGCTGCTGTGAAGTGAGGGGAGCCACCAAGCACAGCAAACTGAGATCGCTCGCTGTGAAGATTTTTATCAGTGTTGTATCAGTGTATCAGAGCTGCTAGTCGCATCTGACAAGGGGGCTTGAGCTGTAGCTGAACTGGCACTCTCTGCAATGGAAGAGGCTTTGATTGAATAAGCTGTTTCTGCTGAGTTATTTCTGATGTGTGGGCCATTGCATTCGAGATTACCCAGTGTTTTTTATCGCTTTTTTGTTTAGCTTTCTACACCACAGAGTGGTTCTCTATATGCTTCACCACTTTTGGCAAAGGATTAGTCCACTAGATCTAAACATAAAACATGCATGGTAGTATGTTGTCTGTTTTCAGCGGGGCCTGAGGTTGATGCTTATACACGAGGTACCTGAAATCATTTTAAAAACTGTACAATTTAGCAAAGTTTTTATGGGGTGCTCACTAATACACCTGGGCTCTGTGCATATTTTGTTGACTAAAGTGTAAATATCAGTTATTAATAAAAGATAGTTAAACAATCCAATCTATTTGTTGAACCAAAACCCTTGGTTAGCTCCCTGGTAAAAATAATTTACTTTAACTTTAAGGCTGCAGGTTGATTCATTTTTCCTCTCTAAGACTCCTTGACTCCATTTTCTCTAACTCAACAAAATGCTCCTTTTCTCCTTTACAGGACATTAATGCCTATGAAAAAGAGAAAGACATCATATCGATTGTGAGTATCCTGAGTTTTATTCCATGACTTTCTGTTTTCTTTCTTTATCCGAGTTGAATTGAGAGGATGAATTGTCCCGTCATTCCTTGTGTCTGTTAGGATTCCAGCAGACCTGGGAAACCATGACTATTCCTTCATTCCATTGCAAAGGAAAGGGACCAGATCCCAGCATAGCAGTGTGATCATTTTTTTCTCATTGATCATATTTCCTTCTCGACTGCAGCAGCCTGGGGGGATTAAGAGTTATTTGAAAAACCATTCCCAAACAGAAAATGAAAACGTTTCTTCTTTCTTAGTGATGCCAGTGAACCCACAGCCAGTATTGTACACACAAATGTATCTTGCAAGGAACACCTGTCAGATGGAGAGCAGATATTTGAAGAGCTAATAATATAAATAAGTAAGGTTCATATAAACACCCTCATAATTTAAAATGACTAATGCTTGCTCTTAGAAACACCATGGGAAAACTGAAATATGTTCTTCGTGCAATACATATTCATGCATATAGTATCACTGGCCAAAGTAAGGTGTGCTGCGTTGATAAGCTGTAATAAGCTGTCTGTGTTTGCTTGATTTTACTTTATACACAGAAAGTTGAATTAGAAGTCTCTTTAGGTGGCTCTGCTTTCTAGTATTGTATAAAGGTCAGAGCTAATTAATATTCCCATTCACAAATTCATATGTGCTAGAGAAATCCCCATGGCATCTCACCAAGAGGAGTGCCTGAAAGTGCATCATGAAGTGCTGGGGTTCACATAGAGGGTGGTGGCAGTAGTGCAGGACAGTACAGCAGTGTGTGTAGAGGAGGCGTGAGGCAAGTGGGCCCCCGTGTGTGAGGTGCTTTTGGAGAGACAAGACACTGTGCCCCCCCCCCAATGGGACCTGATCGTGTTCCTTCTGCCCGTCCTGCAGTGCCGAAAGCTGGTGGCCATCTGTGACGACGTCCTCAGCAGCTGCCCAGAGAACCTCCTCAACCACACTACCAGCCTGGAGAGCGTTGACCTGGTGCCTGCTTCTCCAGGAGACAATCTGGTATCATACCCCCCCTTCCTCTTCCCTTGCCTGTCTCCCCGGCTCTCTGCTGGACAAGCCTTGGAAACCCAGCAGAGCTTCTGTCTGGCTGCTCAAGGTTTCAGCCTCTGCAGATGACACTGCAGGACGATCTCGCCTCTCTCTGCGGGGGTCTAATAGGCAAGGGGCAAGAGAAAGCCTACAAGAAGTGCTTTCAAAACCGAGAACAACAGGCACATCTTTATCCAAAGGGTGGTGGGGGTGTGGAACAATCTACGCAGACGTGTTGTTGAAGCCGATACCCTGGCTTCTTTCAAAAAACAGCTGGATGAGAAACTACCAACTAGCAAATTGGCGAGATGGGTGGATTGGCCTCCTACCATTTACAACCTTTCTTAAGATCAAACAAATGTAAAAGCTGCATAAAATGAAGTGTTTAACATCACCACATTACTACATTAAACTACATTTAAGAGTGGGATTTCTTCAGGTTTTATTCATTTTTCTGCTCTTCCTTTCCAGTTTAGGCTTTTAAAAAATTCTTACCTGCTTTCATCAGCTGTAACTTTAAAAATGAATTGAAACGCCCATACCCATACTCGCTCAAAAATGAAAATGTTCCTGAACGCGTTAAGAACTGAAAGGTTGATTCATGTTCGGTGGGGGTGACACAGTGGTTAGTATTGCTCGCTTGCAGCACTGAGGACCTGGGTTCCATTCTGGACTGGGGGTACTATCTGCATGGAGTTTGCATGTTCTCTCTAGTCTCTCGCATTGAGTTTCCTCTTACAGTTCAAATACATACTGGAATTGACTTCTGGAAAAGTTGTCCTAGGTGTGAGTGTGTGTGTCTGTTCATCTGCCCTGTAACTAACGAGTGTCCCAAACATGGTGTACCCCTGCTTGGGCCCATTGCTTGCCTGGATAGGCTCCAGCTCCCCTGTGACCCTGAACTGGATAAGGCGGTTTGAAAACTAATGGGTGTTTAGAGTGTGTCACAAGTCTAAAAGACCCTCTTTGCACATGGGGTATGGTTATGGAGTAACGCTGGGTGTATTTTTCCTTTTCGACTCTGTTGTTTTGAAGACTGATTACAATCAAGTGCATATACAGTCTAGAAAAGTATCTGTGATCTGGCACAGCTACAAGAACATAGCAACACCAGTATTCCCT